AAACACGCCCCATAATCACAGCTCTATGGAGCAGTATCAGGCTCATATTCTGACTAGAATTGAGTCGGACTACGTCAGGCTATCAAATTTGACTCAAATTTAAATAATCCTTTTGGCACATTTAAAATAAGTATGTTTTAAAGAGAGTGAAATCTAAACCTACTTAATACATTTAAATGTAGGAGGATTAAAAAAAAACATCAGAACATTCAGAATTAGGACTGAAATAGCACCTGAAATAAAGTTAGAATTGACTGATAATGCTTTCTATGGCGGGAAATGGGGTTATACTTTATTTGGAGATAACTGCTTGTTTAGGAATTTTTTGGATCTATCTTGTTTTTTGTGAAGGAAAAAGATGATTTCCATGTATTTCTGTAGTCACATTTCAGAAAATAAAAGAAGCAGTTTTCAAATGTGTTTTTTGTTTGTTTCTAACACCTTTACCACTTGTGAACAAGCTACTACAGGTTGGCCTATTTTACCTAGGTCAGTTAGCCATATTTGTCATGATGGGTCTAATATTTTTTGTCCACATGCAGAAACACTCAGAGAGATTGTAAAAGTTTGAATGTTTATTTTCTGTTAAACAACAAAACAACAGGAATCAGGTTAACACAGCTTGGTGGGACCTGCGGCCAGGTATCCAGGTGCGACTGCACAGAAGGAGAGAGAGAAATGGTGAGATCACGGTTGGTGGGAAGAGAGTAGATTACTGAATACTCTTTTCTTACTTACTTACTTGCTGCTAGAATTGCAGGGTGGTATGTTCCAATTGTGGGGGCTTTGGCAGGTTGAAGGTGGACGTGACGTTGGAGGGTGGACAGGTAAGTTTATGGAAGCACAGAGGAGCAGCGGAGCGGACTGTCAACAGGAGACTTTGATGAGGTCTGAGCTCAGAAGAGAGGAGTTGTGGAACTCTTGGCGTCTCGAAAGGTTTTCCTTCATGGCTGGAAAAACTCGAAAAATCCTAGAGGATCTAAAGGTATACTGCTGAAGATTCACAAGAAACAAAATGTAAGAGCATGAAGAAACTTGTAAAGTTTAGAGAATTACTCAGCTAAGCTCTGAGGGGTTAGAGTACCCAAAACAAGCAAACACTCGGACGAAGAGGTGATGACTGTCAGCTGCTCATGTACTCCTCTGAGGGGATGATGACGATTTGTTGCAGGTGTGGATAGTTGAAACGTGTAGGCAAACCCTCCAAGACCGCGTAACCATACCGTACCATCTGGTGGATGAATGGTGGAACTGAAAAGGAAAACAAACTAACCCCACAAACTGGAACCTAACAATATTAAGCTACACTATTTATACCTTTGTGTCAACAACAACCATTTATTTTCTACAAGTAAAATAACTGTTTTCTTTGTCAAGAAGAATCTCCACGAAAGTCATTTTTAAGTCCTTCATTGCCCTAAGATCTTAATAAAAAGAAAAAGAAGGAGCACTGAGACTTTTTTTGTCACCTTTTAAATGGCAGAGATTTTCTTCAAGAATAAGAATGATTGTTTTCTACCTTCGGCTACTTTAGATCGCCAATTAAATTCTAAATAATAGCCTATACTGGTAATAATATGTTGAGACTCCAAAAGAGATCGGATTCTTATGAAACGGGTACAATACAGTTTGTCTGAGTGGTGATGTCATAAGAAGGGGCAGACTCCAGAGAAGATCTGACCACTCCAGCAGATCTGATATCTATACTGGTGTTATACTGGTGTCTGGATCTGTCCAGAGCCATAGGTAAGACTCTACAGCTCTGGGAGTGTCACTTTGAGATATGATTGGTGGCTGTTCACTGCGTATTGTAGTTATGGGAGGAGAGATAACACACAGTAGAAGTAAATTTAAACCGGCAGCTGCTTTGTGTTTTATTTTAAACTAAGACTTAGGAGAGCTGTTAAACATATGGACCTTTTTTAAAAAAACAAAAAAGTAAAACCAAACTGCAACAGAGTGCTTATAATGGCAGGTTAGTATTATATTGCAATAAGTTTGAAAAAACATAGAGTTAGAATGTTGTTTTTCTTTACTAGTCAAAAAAAGCAATTCAGTGCAGCTCCTCAGAGGACCATGACTCACAGTTCCAGCTAAAAATTTACTCATATTTGTCGATTTCTTATTGAACAGAAATTGACCAGACTGCAGATTTTCTAATGATCTAAAAAGATCTGAAAATATTGGAGCAAATGCTACCACAAATGCTGCCACAGCAAAATACATGCAAGGTATGGATAAGGAGTGTAAAATATGTGAATAATGATGGAGGGAAGTTTTGTATGCTACATTCTGGAAAAAGTAAGTAAAGTGCAGTTTTATTTTAAATAAAATCTACAAGCCAGAGAACCACAAATTTTCATTTTTTTTACAGTTACATTCTCTTAGGAAACAATTGTAAAATTATCATTTAGGTTTTAAGGGCCATGTTTTTTTGATGGGGTTGTTGAATGCATCTGAATGTTTTCTTAAGAAAAACAACTGAAAATCTCTCAGATTATAGCAATTTCATTTTAGGAAGGAAATACACAGAAAATGGCAGACGGAAAACTGCCTTTTCTTTCCCTTTTTTTGCTTATCCAACGATAGAGAAGATACAAACACCTTTATAGACTGTACACAAACCTTTTACCATCATAGTTGTTCTGGTGGTCGTCAAAACAACCATCAAAACAACCGAGGTTGTTTTAGTCAGCAGTTTCCTCAGAACCTGAATTTTTCAAGGCAGAATAAAGTTAACGTATTCTGCATACAACCCCGACACACAGGTGAATAATTAACTGCTAACAAGTTTGTCAACCAATTCTGAATAAATCATTATGTCAATCCAGGAAAACATTCAACTGTGGCACCACTGAGGCAGTGAATGAAAAAAGACTTGCTATTTTCAAGTCATCATGATTTAAAATTCTAGGAAGTAACAATATGCCATGATTAGGACTGCCACACAACCTAACAGCAACACCAAGAACACCTATGAATGAGCGTTGCTCCAACAACTTCCAGACTTACAGGAATATTGTGGCGTTGCCTAATGCTGGAGCGCAGCGCGCAGGACAACACACAGCAGATGTCTAGCAGTGGCATGGCACAGCACCATCCATGTTTACTGGCAGTCTGACACTGCATGCAGGGGAAACACCACAGGCCACAGCAGCCTGTTGGGGAGATGAAGAATATTTTATTAGTGAAATTATCACAGAATCCACTTAAGTTTATCAAGTAATAAAGCCCACAAAAGAAATGTAAATTATCAAGGATAGTTTTGGTGTTAAAAGAATTTCAAATCAGATTCAGCCCATATTTGGGATTAAAGCAGACTGAAATCACTTCACAGTTTTTCTAAAAAAAAAAAAAAAAGTCAAAATAACAATCCATTGGACATGTATGGATGCGATAGGCACCAGCACCCCTTGCGACCCCACTCAGGACAAGCGTGTAAGAAATGGATGGATGGATGGAATAAACCAGGGAACAGATGTGAGTCAATCAGAAAAACTTACTGCCAGTGTTTAGCAAGCTATGCACTGGAGGCAACATGTTTCTGTAGCACCTCCTCAAGTTTCACGCCTTCACAGCTCGTGTCCTTCACCCAAACCTTTAACTTTTAAGTTCCTGAATTTTTTTCTTAAGGGTAGAAGGCTTTAACACATCAGGCATTTTGAAACAAACAAAAAAAAAAAACATATTTACAGTTAATGAGATCTGGCACGTGCCGCTTGATCCATTTCTAAATTATAATGTTAATTTGTTGTTTTAATTCCTGCTTTATGTGTATAACTACAGAAGGGTTTACAGTCTTCACCTGCAGTGGTGCCTTGTATAAACTTTTTCAATAAATCCACACTGCCCCCTTCAGGAATACAGGTGTTCATGTAAGCGCCAGCAAGTTATGTTAATACAGTGTCCTGCAAAAGTGCTTTCAGTATTTAGGTGCATCCATCTTCCCTGTTTCTGCTGACATAGGGCATGAAAACTACAATTTCCTTCTGTCACACTCAGAATATTGCAAAAGTTAGAAATAACCTGTTCAGGGGCGATGCTGAGAAAGTAGCCATGCATTTGTTACTTCAAGATTGGACCATTTCAATTATTTAGGAAGTCCACAAACCTTAAGCCTTCACCTGATAGAGTTCTGCAGAAGGTTAAAAAGAGAGATCATATCTCTTCTATCCTAGCTTCTCTACATTGGCTTCCTGTTAAATCCAGAATAGAATTTAAAATCCTCCTTCTCACATATAAAGCCTTAAATGGCCAAGCTCCATCTGATATCAGAGATATGATTGTTCCTTATGTTCCTAACAGAGCACTTCAAAACAATTAATTAAAAACAATTCACTAGACTTTGTTTCCAAGTTTGAAGTCATTTCACCTCCATCAAGGGAGCTTTTTCAATTCAAAATGTCAGAATTAACATTGAATTGGAAGCTTTACAGAGCGGCCCAAAACAAAGCCTTTTTTTGGTTTAGGAAACATGCAAATTGAACTGGAAGAATGGGTCCGCCCCTTCAGAATTGGGAGTCATTTGGGTTCTTTGTTAACCTGCAATTCCCAATAATGGTCTATGCCTCTGAAGGGGAGGTTGTTAGGGGGAATTGTTGGCCTTGTTAATCAGGCATGATGTTTTGGTTCTCTATATGGGGCCAGGGGTTGCGATTATAGCGGGAAGGAATCAAATCTATTGCTGCATTGTAAGTTTTTGAAAGCTGATACCTGAGTGTGCCACCTCCGGTTAAGGTTGGTTTTTCTTTCTTAACATAAATGGCTTCCTCACACCTCTTTTCAAACCACCTGTTTTCTTTGTCCAAAATGTGAATATTCTGGTCCTGGTCATTTCAGAGTTGTTTTGATCATTCAAACTTTCCCAGCTGTCTTATTTCAGCTGTCTTTTTTCGGCTTCCTGTTAAATCCATAATAGAATTCAAATTCCTCCTTCTCACGTATAAAGCAAGGCTCCATCATATTTTAGAGATCTGACTGTCCTTATGTTCTTAATAGAGCCCCTCACTTTTAATCTGCAGGTCTACTAGCAGCTCCTGGGAGTACATAAAGTGGAATGCTAGCCAGATCTTTTAGGATGTGTTCCAATTAAGGGGCTGCATCCTTCAAAGGACCCGATTTACTTCAGAAAACTAAAAAAACAAAGGTCTAGAAGAGATCAGCTGTCAGTTTAGTTGCCTAGCAACCATGAAACCATGAGGCATAGATCTTAGAAGCTGATGGAGCACTTAAACGTTTGTTTTTTGAATATCCTTTATCCTATCATTTATCAAACAAAAAATCTAATTTTTCATAATTTACATTTCTTAAGCCATAATTATTTTATGGCTATTTTTATAGAAATATAAATGGGTGAAGAAAAGCTAAAGATATTTTTTATATTTATATTTTTTTTAAAACAAAGCAGAGTGTGCATGATGTCATCCATGTGTGCCGGCTACCGTTCATTCATCCTGTCCGCTGAACTGCTGCTAGTTTTACTCACATGCCTGGAAGATGTCTAGTGCTACTACCACAGATGATCTCTCTCTCGAAATGGAATTGAACGATTCAGATTAGTTAGCTGAATGAATAGAATAGAATAATAGGGGTAGCGCGTAGCCGCCTGTGGCCCGGGCTGCCTGTCACAACTCCAGTCCGGCGTGCGCGGATGACATCATACACGCGCTGCTTTGTTTTTAAAAAATATAAATAGAAAAATAACCGCGGATGTCTGAGGGACAGTGCTTCGCCTACATGTTATGAATGCTGGCGTACCATAAAGAATAAATTATGAACAGTTTAGTTTGTGCTTTCAAGTCGTTGCCCATAAGAAGACGTAACTTGGATATAACCTAACTGAATATCTTCAGAACAGCTCCAAATGACACAAAACTAATATGGGTGAGTAGAACATGATGTAATAACATAAAATCAAAGGCCCAATGTAAAAAAAAAATAAAATAAACGATGTTCCTCTTTAAGGTTAGGCTTCCTTTTTGATAAAGTTATAGTTAGAGTGGCTCAGGTTATATATTTAACAATATGCTGCTATGGGTTTAGACTGCTAGAAGACCTAGCAAACCTTTTCATTACTCTGCTTCATTCTACTTCGACTCTCCAATGTTGCCTTCATTGGTAGTTCAACCTCCACCATTATATTTTCTCTGCTCTCATCATAGTAGCTTTATCTGACCTCATCCTGTGACACTTGATTAGTGCATCTCCAAATAATCCTCACGAGTTCTGCTGTTTGAGCAGCAGCCTCACCCTTTCCTGTGAAAACGTGTGGTTGGAGGATATCTACATAAGATGGCTCCCTCCAGGAAGCACCAGCTTTATCCACGCTGCGCCAAACAAACGGCCACTCTCTCTGATCAGGGAGAAATTATCTGAGGCACAGCACAATGATTCCAGCTAAAGTTTGAGACAAACAGGCTTTTTTACTAGCTAATTAGAAGTAAGCGCAACAGTTATTTGCTTATGGAAGTTCTTTTTTTGGCTGTATGAGCTCTCAGACATTGTTTAGGCTTCATGGATGTTTTCATATGGTAATGTCATGAAGTGGGCATCACCCAGATCAGAGATGAGGCTTTGCTTTAAAAGCAAGTATTTTTGCTGAGTTATAAAAAAAGAAAATATATATTTAATGACAAATTAACCCTGTTGACCAATATCTCATCATATATTGTGACTTTGAAAGGCTTGAACACTTACACTTTAAGCCATTATTATGCTGCAAAATTTCCTAAATTGTAGTTTTTCTTTTAGCTTTTCTTATAAATTTGTGTTGCTGCCTGTTTTGACTTGTCTCTAACTTATCTTCTGGTACAGCTGAATATTTCTGCTGAGAGATAAATGGTTTTATTTCACCCAAGTGTTTTATTTCATCTTCTTTTCCTGTAGTTTCCTTCAAAGGTCCTGTTCACACAAACACAGGCTCAACTAATTTTTTTGTTAGTTTGGGTGTATTATTAACAGATAGATGCAACGCAGTGAAACATTTTGTCATTCAGAAAAAAGGAGACATGAAGAAAACAATCAAGCTTTACTGTTTATTGTGCCATGCCTATAATCAGAATTTTTAAATGTCATGCTGCCTTTTTATCTGTGCAACACAGGAAGAAATCAGAGTGATCACAATCTGACAATGTAACAGAAGTGTAACAATGAAGTGAGTCTTTAAAGTCACAGATAACTGCTTCAGAGCAGCAGAACATGATGCTTAAATATTTAGAGTATATTCATCTAGTGTGGAAACAATATCCTGTAGTGGGAATTTTGGTTCAAGCTAGTTAAATGTTAGCTTAGCATTTTTAGTAGATTTAAAGGAGTCAGCACCACAATACTGCTGTATTTTATTGTTGATATCTCCTGTGGGTCCTGTAGTAGTTTGCATCCATTATGTTTTTTACCATCTAATTTCTACTGACTTCCGTCATACTGTCCAGATCACAACAGAGATCAGAAGGTTCTCCCAATTTTACACTTTGGTCTTAATGGCTGGTTATACTCTGTCACAAATATTTTTGATTTATGTCTGTGCTATGTTATTCCCTGCCACAACGCAAATGGGACAATTGCAAACTAGCTGTGGGTCTAGATACGGCAGAGGAGGGAAGGAAGTGGGAGCAAGTTTGTTCGACAACGTGGGGACATGAGCACGAAAAAGAGCGGGGATCCAGTTGGAAAAAGGGTCCCAGTGCACAGTACTCGAGTTGAGAGAGGATGAGGGGGGATGGAATCCACCTTAAAAAAAAGTTCTTAAAAATCAACCCCCTTCTTAAATGACAATCCCCTGTGACATTTTATCACCGAATGTATAAACATCTATTATGTATTAACAGTAATGGCAATAATATTGCCCTTTCAACATTCTGGATTGATGGTGTTCTAAACTAGCCTGACGTAGTCCTACTCAATTCTTCCCGACCTCAAACCTTGTGGGCGGGTCTAAGTTCGGAATGGCACCCAGGCTAGTTCTAAACAGCCTTACGGCCAAGCGGCAAAGCCAACATGATTTGAGGGAATGTGAAAATAAGGAGGGGAGGGAAACTTCTGCAGGTTCCAGGTTCTAAGTTGCAGAGATCTTCCTCCCCTGCTTAATTTGAGAAATAATGTGTTTACAATTATGCAAGTTTCTCCACATAATCAGACCTATTCTCTATTATTGTGGTATGAATTTCATAAGTCTGGGACAATAAATTTGAAAATTTGAAAAAAAAAAAAAAACACTTGTAATGATGGGAGCAAATCTTTGGCAGGTTCCAGGTTGTAAGTTGAACAAATAAATCGTCAGAAATGATCTAGATAGATGTTGATAACAACATCTGGAATAGCCATCCACTGAGCAGAGAATTTATTCGCACACTGACTGTAGCACATCAAATGAAACATACATTCCATACAAGTAAAATCCTATTAATTCAAACTTATCTGTCCACCAAAACTATAAAATTTAAGGCATCCTTGTATAAGAAATATGAAAACATTATAAAAATGTTTAAAATTTCCCTTTTCATTCATATTTCAATCAGTTTTCTCGTCAATGGGTGTGCGTTTAGGGTGATGCTCGCTTCTAGACAGGGGAGGTAATTCTCGGCACAAAAGAGGAAACCCGGAGGAGAGAATCGAAGGTTTGAAAAATGCATTTTAATTAAGCAATTTAAAACACGTGTTAAGATTATTATCTTGAAAGAACTGCCAAATGTGATGTTAATGTCTGGCCAATGGTTATCATTGAACTGAATGTTGACATCTGAGTGCAAGCTCCCTCGTGTGACTTGCAGAACGCCTGTAGTCCGATCAATGGTAAATAGTTTCAGTTTAACGGACTTCTGTAGTCTTTATCACTTCTGCAGGTGCAGAAGTCTGCAGGTCCATAAAAGACATTTCATCTCAGCGCTGTGTGTCCCGAGCCCGCAACATCATAAATGAAGCCTCACCCCCCCACCATGGACTGTGCTCCCTGCTGCCCTCTGAAAATGTTAGAACTGCAAATTCACAGTCATATGTTTATATTACTCTTTTTAAAAAAATCTTTTTTACCATTTTTCAAGGCTACACTTTACTTTTTTTACTAGAGAGCTGTTCTAAACAAAATTTATTTTTGTATTAGACTTGTGTAAACAAAAGGACAAATAAATCTGTCTAAGTCTAAGTCTTGATGATCCACCCAGAAAAACTATACCTTTATTTGTCTGACCACAAAGATTATAGCTGGCCTGGTTCAAAACAATGAATTTGTGAAAAAAAAAAACACTTATTCTCCTTTCTCAGAAATGTTCTTAGGGCGTCTGGTTTTAGAAGCTACTTTAAACATCAAGACATTTGAACTTATTAATGGTATTTTTTTGCAGGATGTAAGAAATTAGCTCAGTGGACTTACAGGTCCCCATATCGCTGCAGCAGTCACAAATGCCAGTGCTCCATGTCCCGACACCTTGATGGGTGGAGGTGACCATCACCACCTGGGATGGTTGGGGTTGGTAAGCCATGTCTGGAGGAAACAGAGTCGACACATCGAAAGAGGAACTGTGTAGTTTTATTTGAGCCCTTGCACACTAACACCCCCAGTTTGTTATTTTAAAAAGGGAGCATCAGACGTGGTGAGAATTAATTTACATGCTGTGTTGAGCTGGGTTCAGGTACATCTCTAGTAACATCATTTTTATTGAGGAGACACGATTAATATGAAAAGTAAACAAACTCTAGACCAGGGGTTCTTAACCTTTTTGTATCACACCCCAAAATTTAACCTACTCTGCTGTGAATGACCCCCGTCCCTATCTCAAAATATTAGCATATTGGGATAAAAGTTCATTATTTTCCATAATCTAATGATAAAACTTGAACATTCATATATTTTAGATTCATTGCACACTAACTGAAATATTTTCAGGTCTTTTATTGTCTTTATACAGATGATTCTTGATTCTGGCATACAGCTCATGAAACCAAAAATTCCTATCTCACAAAATTAGCATATCATGAAAAAGGTCTCTAAACGAGCTATGCACCTAATCATCTGAATCAACAAATTAACTCTAAACACCTGCAAAAGATTCCTGAGGCCTTTAAAACCTGTGGAAGCAGTAGACTGAGTCTGGAACGGCAAATTCCAAACCTCTAGAGAAATCTCCAAAAATTGATGAAGACTCACTAATTGTTAAAAAGAAAAATTTTGTTCTTTTCATGGTGGAAGTGATTAATTGTGCTGCACAGACGACAAAAAAACCCTGAAAAAATCAAAATAATAGTGAAGGCTGCAGAAAAATATCTGGACGTAAAAGATTTGAACTGGGAGATGGTTGGAAGCATGATGGGAGGACCAATGGGACCATCAGAAACTGGCAGAGTTACGATGACCTAAAGTAAATTAAAATTATTCAGGCAAATGTGATTTAGTATTATGTGGTTTTCAGTTACAGGTTTTTTTTTTGTTTTTTTTTTAGGTGAATCGTTTCCTGTTTCCTTGCTTTACTCCATATCAGTTGGTGGCGGTAATGCACATTTCACAAGTTTGCCAACCGCCATAAAATCTCATAAGAAGAAGAAGAAGACTGAGTCTGGAGTAGACACATCCAGAGCTAACGTGCACAGGTGTGTGCAGGAAATGGGCTACAGGTGCCGCATTTCCCAGGTCAAGCCACTTTTGAACCAGAAAGAGCGGCAGAGACGCCTGACCTGGGCTACAGAGAAGCAGCACTGGACCGTTGCTCAGTTTTGCATGTCATTTGGACAGAATCTGGAGGAAGACTGGGGAGAAGGAAATGTCAAAATGCCAGAAGTCCAGTGTCAAGTACCCACAGTCAGTGATGGTTTGGGTACCATGTCAGCTGCTGGTGTTGGTCTACTGTGTTTTATCAAGGGCAGGGTCAATGCAGCTAGCTATCAGGAGATTTTGGAGCACTTCACGCTTCCATCTGCTGAAAAGATTTTTGGAGATGAAGATTTCAATTTCAGCACAACCTGGCACCTGCTCCCAGTGCCAAAACCACTGCTAAATGGTTTACTGACCATGGTATCACTGTGCTCAACTAGCCTGCCAACTCTCCTGACCTGAACCCCAGAGAGAATCTGTGGGATATTGGGAAGAGAAAGTTGAGAGACACAAGACCCAACACTGTGGATGAGCTAAAGGCCGCCATCGAAGCATCCTGGGCCTCCATAACACCTCAGCAGTGCCACAGGCTGATTGCCTCCATGCCACGCCGTATTGAAGCAGTCATTTCTGCAAAAGGATTCCCCACCAAGTATTGAGTGCAGAACTGTACATAATTATTTGAAGGTTTACTTTTCTTTTATTGGTTGGATGAAATATGCTAATTTTGTGAGATAGGAATTTTGGGTTTTCATGAGCTGTAGGCCAAAATCATCCGTATTGAGACAATAAAAGACCTGAAATATTTTAGTTAGTGTGCAATGAATCTAAAATATATAAATGTTATATTATTATATTAATACTTAACTTTATCACAATATGCTAATATTTTGAGAAGGACCTGTACATGTATGTCGCATTTCCATAATTGGAAAACCACTTATGAACTCACTTCAGCTATTAGTCTCTTAATCATCTTATTTTAAAACATACTGAGATTTTTTTTTTTAAAACAGAAAGCAGCATCAAGTGGCTAACTTTCCCGAACAGAACAACAATATTCCCTAGATCCCAAAAAAATAACGCAAACTTGAAACTTTTTTTTTATGGAATAAAAAGATAAAAAGTGTGCTAAACTTGAAGAAAACACACTAGAAACAGCCCACGTTTATCTTTAAAGTCGTAGGGAAGTCATATTTAAATTTCCAATCATTCTGGCATAAACATGTATATAAATGTACTCTTTATCAGACCATATTGTGCCAAAAGTTAGAAAATTTCAACAACAAAAAAATTTCTTTTTTTTTTTTTATCCTGTCTTAAAATCTGTCGGAGGATTTTTCTTTATTCTATGCAGGCCAGTTAGTTATATGTCAGCTTGTACACCTTAATTCGGCCAGTCATATATCAACGGTCATCTGTCAATCAATTTTTTTGGTCACAGCTTGAATTATGTGTCACAGCTAATATACGCAACGGTTGAAATAAGAAATAAGAATAATTTGTTTTACCATTGAGTTCCGTCCCAGTGTTCCGTTGGAACAGCTGCTTCCCTACGACTTTCAAACCTGTGATACGTAATTTCAAAAGAAACAAGGCATATTAAAAAAAAACAAAAAAAAAAAAACATAAAGACATGTCTATAATGGACTTATGTTAACAGCACCCTATAAAGGAAGTTGACCCCTTAAACATGTTGCTTTTCTTGCCAAACAGAACAAAGGTAGTAAAGCTATTAAAACACACAGAGTTGGACTTTGTGGCATACTTATGTGATAAAGGATTTGTTATCTTTTTAGAAAGAAACTACCATATCAATCTACAATCGACCATAAAGGAATTGTCCTTCGTGGGACAATAAAGGGATTTAGTGGCGGCTTTCCCAGTCCTTTTTCTATCACTAAATGATGAAAACCATCTTTAAATGATACGTGTGAGGTCTGCAGCACTTCACCTCCTATGTGACTTCATGGATGAGTCTTTAATAAGCTTTCTGATTAATTTAGGTAGACCAGCCACTTGTTACAGCTGGTTTATATTTTTCCCATTTGTGGATACAGATTTGCTGTAATCTCTGTGCTCATACATAAACTTGCTGCAGTCTTTGTTCTTTAACTCCTTTATATAGAAGTGTCATGCATTGCTTCCTGAGATGTTTTGCCTACTTTATGTGATCAGAGAGGTCCTATTGAAGTCATTTCCTGACTTTTCAAGAAGCGTTGCAAAAGAGACTGTATCAGAAATCTGGTGGTTTAAAGAGTGGAGCAAGTGAAGTTTTACATGGATCCAGTTTGGTTCTGGATAGCATGGATTCACTTCAATTAGGAAAATATATATA